TGTGGAAGGTCAGGTTGTAGACTTGGTGGAAGGCCTTGTTGCAGATGGTGCATTTATACTGCTTCTCGCCGCTGTGGGTCAGCTTGTGGTTCTTGTAGTTCCCTTTTTGGTGAAAGCCTTTGCCGCAAAATTCACAGACGAAGGGCTTGTAGCCTGCGTGAATGCGGATATGCGTGTTGAGCGTGGAGCTGCAGTTGAAGGCTTTGCCGCACTGGTTGCATTTATGCGGCTTTTCCTGGGTGTGGATAATTTTGTATCTGCAGAGTGTGCTTGCCTGGCGAAAGCCCTTGCCACAGACTTTGCACACGAACGGTCTGGCGCCGGTGTGGACCGGCATGTGGCGGGTGAGGTTATAATGAGCATTAAACACCTTGCCGCACACCTCGCAGGTGAAGTTTTTGGGTTTGCCATCAGCTGAGTCCCCTGGCAGCTTGCTGTGGCCCTTGATGCCGCCGCGCTCAGCGGTCAGGCCCGAGTTCTCCTTTAGCACCTGCTCCAGCGGCGCCGGCAAGCACTCCTTATGGGGATAGGGAGCCGGATGGGGGAACTTGTCCGCAGCCAGGCCAGCCAGCTTGGCGTTCTCCAGCAGAAAGAGCTTCGGGTGCGCAGCCAGGGCAGCGGGGGCCTGCGCACTGAGGAGGCCAGACGGGAAGAGGTGGCCACCGAGGAGCTCAGACGGCGCGTACGCGGTCGAGTCCAGGTAGTTGAAGTAGTAGAGAGAGCCGCTGGCCGCCAGCCCCACGGTGTTAGTTACCAACAACAGAAACTACTTCTTTTCCAATCAAAGAATTCACAATCTTGACTAAATTCATTCTAGTCAAACCAAATGCAACCTGCAATAATCCAATTACAACACCAAACATTTGATGTTTTGGGAACTGAATCTATCCCCAATTTTAGCATTTCTATAAGTGATAGCAATCTTGCTTTACTTTTTTTGGCTCATTAGTCTCCTCAGACTCACCATCTGACATATCCTTAAGGACCAGATTCTCCAACTCACTCCACTCAGTGTTCAGACGTTTCATTAACTTGAAAGCATTTACAGGATGCCCAACAAATCCTTCTGGATCTTTTGTCGCTGTGCTGGTTAACCGATCTAACTTCTCTGCCCATCTATAGATGTAAAACATAAAAGTGGAGTTGTACATACACTTCATAAGAAAAAATACAATTCAGTAAAGCACTCAGGAAAAAAAATAGACTAGAGGTTTTTGAGTTAAACTATCACTACAATTTCTTTTTAAAGTAAAATTATAGACCTGGCATGGTGGCTCATGCCTGTACTCCAGCACTTTTGAGAGGCTGAGGCAGGAGGACCGCTTGAAGCCAGGAGTTCAAGACCAGCCAACACAGAGAGATCCCATCTCTACAAAAAATTAAAAAATCAGCTGAGCATGGTGGCATGGACCGCTACTCTGGAGGCCGAGCCAGGAGGATCACTTGAGCATGGTTAGAGGTTGCAGTGAGCTATGATG